TTGTTGCTCTCTCTCTGTCTGTTTTTTTTTTTTTTTGGCTTCTAAAACTGACTATTTTTTTTTCAACTTGCACCTTTTTTTTGTTGCTTGGAGAACCACAATTGTCCAATTTTAGAGGTTCTAACTGTGGCTAATTTTTTAAAAAATTTTTGCAAAGTAATAAAGCGTATAATTAATCCGACTTCTGGAGATAAATTAAGATTTCAAAACTAAAAGATTTAAGGTTAAAAGAAGCAGTAATAAAAGGGAAGTTTGCTTTGCCGGTTTCCCTTATCTTATCCCAATGCATAAAATACACAATATCAACACAAAAATGACTGCCTTTTAATTAACGTATCAAGTGGTAAAAGTGTACAGTTTACAACAGCTTGAAATTCTTGTTTATATAGACTCAAATTGGTCAGATTTTGTGATCAAAATAAGCATATATACTATTTTGACATTCATGACGGAATTCAACTGTCAATTTCCCATTCTTCCACGTAACCTTTTTTTCTTTTTTCTTTTTTTTTAAGGAGTAGATCTTATAATTTAAAAGGACAAACTCCACAAGTAATTATTTGGCAATAAGATTGATTAACAGATTAACTCAACTACTCCTTTTTCTTTCAATCAAATTGGTAAATGTTTAAAAGGTGCATTATTTCTTGGGCTGTAGAAAAAGGCATATTGATTGCTGCCAAGTGCCAATAGCTCCATTTCCTGTTTCAGTGGTCCTTGAGTTCAAGTCCTACTCCTCCACCAGTACTGGTAGACGAGCAATTTATGAGGGTTCAATGATCTCTCAAGCAGAACTAATATTATATAAATCCCCCCAACCTTCACCACTGCAACCAGCTCACTGCAACTACTGCATTCTATCAGCTTCTTCTGCAAAGCTGATCGCCATTTCTTTGCAGGGCATTTTCCATCCAACAATGAGGCAATCGTTCTCCTTCAGCTCATCCATTTTTGTAGCTTTGCTACTAGTACTGGCTGTTGCCTCAATAACCCCTCGAGCTGATGCCCGAGCATTTTTCATTTTCGGTGACTCCCTAGTTGACAATGGCAACAACAACTATTTGCTCACCAGTGCCCGCGCCGATGCACCGCCCTATGGCATTGACTATCCGACTCACCGCCCGACTGGCCGTTTCTCAAATGGCCTGAATATACCTGATATCATTAGTACGTACTACTTGAGCTTCTACTTGATTGATTATTCACTATTGTATGTCATTCAGAGGGGAATTCTGCGGTCCCTCTAAGGTATCGTAAAGAACAAGTATGGTACCTTAGATGTTTAATGGGGTATGAAATTTCCCTTCTTTTGTTAGCAATACTGGCAATTGATGGCACGTTAGAAATTTTATTGCATGGTACTAATTACGTACTGTATTACCACTACATATGTTGAATAATGTTGACACATTATGCATATTTAGGTGAGCGAATGGGCATGCAATCCCCGTTGCCGTATTTAGCTCCAGAGAATACGGGGCAGCGGCTGCTTAATGGTGCCAACTTTGCTTCTGCAGGAGTTGGAATCCTTAATGACACTGGCTTTCAATTTGTACGTCTAGTTGTGGGACAAATCAGCTGATTTGGAACCCTTTCCTTTTCTTTTTTCCCTCTCTGGAACTGATAATGTGTATTTACCATGGCTTGGTGTAAAGACTAGGAAAGAAACAAAATTAACTACTTCTCTGCGTTCTGCAGCTGAACATAATCCGCATTACCAAGCAGTTGGAGTATTACCAACAATTCCAGACCCGAGTGGGTAGCCTTATTGGAGAACAACAGACCACACAACTTGTTAATCAAGGACTCGTTCTCATCACTCTTGGTGGTAATGATTTCGTCAACAACTACTATTTGGTGCCCTTCTCAGCACGATCCCGCCAATTTGCCCTGCCTGATTACGTCCGCTATCTCATTTCCGAGTATCGCAAAATTCTAATGGTAACTTCTTTTGCTCTACTTTTGGCAGTTCCCTCTATTTGGGGGCACAATAAGGTTAATTCACTGGGCGGAATGGCAATAGCACTAGCATTGACTAGAACAATTGAAGCTTCCTAACTTTAGCTAGCTTACTGTGCGCCATATTTCGGTAGAATTTAAGTTCATGCAAACGTGAATGTTGTGGCAGTTGAATGGTCATAAAATGCATGCCAAGTTGGTGCAGGCAACTGTGGGACAGAGGCATTTTGATGAGCTTTTACTTGACCATAAAAATTGACCGGTGGATGAGAATTTATTAAAACTTGAAAGGGCTCTTTCCCTATTCGTAGCAGTACATGCATGTTTCTTATGGGAAACAGGAAAAAGTGACGGAGAGATTATTTGTTATTGTTCACAAAAGATGGACTGTGGACTCGTATTTTTCTGCACCCCACCTATCAAGATCCAAAATGAATGAATTATGTACTACCAAAATATTATAGTTTGGTTTTCATATTTGAGAGACCCATAAAGCCATTTTAACTTCACCATTGTGCAGAGGCTGTATGAATTGGGATCCAGGAAGGTCATTGTAACAGGTACAGGTCCAATAGGTTGTGTACCAGCTGAATTGGCCCAGAGAAGTAGAAATGGTGAATGCTCAGCTGAATTGCAACATGCTGCTTCTTTGTTCAACCCACAATTAGCACAACTGATAAGTGATATAAACAGTCAACTTGGATCTAATGTGTTTATGGCTGCAAATACCATGGCAATGCACATGGACTTTGTCTCTAATCCTCAGGCATTTGGTAAGTCAAAACTCAATAATATAAGCATTAGTACCTCTCAGTTACATCTTGCAGTACGTGCTTCTCTGGTTCAGGCCACTTTATGAGAGAGTTAAATTCTCAACCACTTGAAATAGAGCCAGCTAATGGTAAACATGATTGCCAAGGCTAAAGAATTGCCAGACATTTATGGCAAGTATGGGAAATAATCGAGGACCACTTGGATAAAATATGGTAAGGAGGTATCACAGATTGATGGCAATACTCCTCCTAGCCTTTACGAGATTTACTAAATTGGTCCCTCTTGAGGGTAAAAAACAAAGGGTGGCCTAAAATCTTGCCCATGGACATTAACTAACACAGTTTGTAGCATTACCTTCTACTGAGAAGATAATGAGAAATTGGTAGCCATATCTAGTTATAAACAGATGAGTAAATTGAAGAGAACAGCAATGGCGTATAATATATCTCTGATCTGACAAATTTTTGCAGGATTTGTTACATCAAAGATAGCATGTTGTGGACAAGGTCCATACAATGGCATTGGCCTTTGCACACCCTTATCCAACTTGTGCCCCAACAGAGACATCTATGCATTCTGGGATCCATTCCATCCCTCAGAGAGGGCCAACAGGATCATTGTTCAGCAGATATTCTCAGGCTCCCCCCAATACATGCACCCAATGAATCTCAGTGCTGCACTGGCAATGGACACCAGCAGGACCTAAAACTGAATTATTACAATGTTCTGTCTCCTGTGATTTGTTTTGTTTAGTCAGAGCACCTGTGGCTGTGTATGCTGTTTTTCTTTTCCTTTTTCTATTTTTTACCAGTTACTATAGTGGTATATCACAACATTGGTGTGTAATTTTGAAAATTCTACATTAATGAAGTAATAAATTGATATAAAATAGCCCTGACTCATAAATTCATTAATTAACACTGGTTTTTTTTTTTAAGAGTGAAAGTTGAATATCTACCTTTGTATATTAAAAGAAAGAGATCTTACTGTAGTTTGGTTAGTCAAAAGTTATAAATATCTCTCCTCCCAATTCTTCTCTTCTTCCTCTTTCTGCCTCTGCATTCAACCCTTATCTCCCTCTTTTTTCTTCATCTTTCTTTTTTTCCCTTCAATTTTTTCTTTATAATTAATACACTAAGATTATTTTCTTACTATTTTTTTAGGTGATTACTGTTGACCATGGAGAGGTATCGCAACAATCAACTAATTTATACTGTCACTTTTTCTTCCATCAATTTTAACTCTCTAATTCAATATTTTGCTTTTTCCCTTTTTCTTTTCTTCCATCCTAATTTTTCTCAACCTGATTCCTTCTAGTACTACTAACTAGGGAAAGAAATAGGTTGGATGGGTATCGGGGAAGGGAATGTAAGTGAAAGGTGCTGAATTCAGGATCTTCCACTTACACAAAAAAAAATTAATATAAAAAAATTGGTTATAGTAATCAACCAATCCAGAATTTTAAGAAAAAAATTTTAAAAAAAAAAAGGAAAGTTAGAATGTACCAGCACATGCAAAGGAATGGCCTCCAACTGATTTAATAATAGTGCCCAATTGACAGCACAATATTATGGTTTCCTGTCATTGAAAGTTCCATGATCCTAATGAGAATGCCAGAAAGGTGTAAATGGAATCTCAGGTACTAATTGAAGAGGTCTATGGGACACATTGAAAAGAGGTAGAGGAGAAAATTAATATTGCTTCAAGAGAAAAGAACAGTTAGTTGGATGGTGTTGAAGACAGTAATTGCTGCTTACACAACCTTAGCTGTTTAAAACTATGAAGAGGAGAAATAACAGAATACATGCAATTACCTATAATGAATTGCACAAGGCCAAGCAGCTGAGAATTGCAGAAGAAATATACATACATATATATATATATATATATGTGTATGTATGTATACGTGTGTGTGTGTGTGTGTTGGTAACGAATTAACGTTTGTATTACTAATGGGCTGAGTTAGTTTATCAAACTTTATTAAGATTTTGCAATTTACAATCCTAGGGGTCATTAGGAGATAATTATGCTTAATTTGGTGGACTAATCTCTTATTAGCCTGTATATAAGCAGAATCTGTGTCAGAATGTTTGAATATTCTTGACAGCGATGATAATTTTTTTGGTTTCTTAGCGGACTCTATTTTGTGTGAACTGCGATTTAGGACATATAATTACTTGCATGATTTGTCAAGACCAGAGAGGGCAAAAAATATATATATATATATATATATTCTTGACAATATTTGGATTCATATATGCCAACAACTACCCAGTGGATTAATTTGAGCGGCCTGTTTTGGTGGGCTCGAGCGCGCTTCGACGGCCAATTTCTCCCTTAATGGGTTTTGTTGAAGCCAACTCAGAATTTCTTCTGCTTACAGTTTGAGCCTAAAAGCCCACCCAATAGTTAGGGGGAACGGAAACGAGTATAAATGAAGCCAACATCCTGCAATTCAAACTTTGATTATTTTAACAAATTTGAAACTTTGTTTAATTTAACTTGTTTACTTCTCAAGCCAAACTCAAATGAGCTTTTATCGAGTATAACTCAGACAGATTGTACTTTTTACATGTAAATTTTACAAATATACTAATTGGTCGAACTAAACTTGAGCCAAATTTGAAAATTTATGAAACGTGAAATACTATTCAATTTTGATTTGATTAGTTGGTGAACTAAATTCGAATGGACTTTTACTAAATTTTTTTTTTATTTTTATTTTGGGGGCCTCTTTAAGCAGAAAAGAGGCCCCCAAAATTTTCATATTTGGAGGAGCATGTTCGTAATGGTGGTAGCTTTTTGCATTTCATCTGGTAGCAGTCCTTCTTTTCCTTGGCAAAGCAAAGCAACCATTTTATGACATCTAACTTCCAAGAAATCAGAAGGTAAGCGTTCCCATACATCATACATGCTTCATTTGTGTTGGAGAAACTTGAGTTTGGCATTCATTTAAGAATTTCACATTCTAAATCTCGACTTAAGCAAAACATATTCATCTACTTAAATGTGATTTTTTATTTAGTATATATGATGTATTTGTTTATACACACATCACCCTGTGCATATACATACATATAAATGTATGTATGTGTGTGTGTATATATGTATAGGGTTTCTCTTTTATGGCATACTTAATTATTTGAACTTTGGTAATTGATACCATCATTTTTTCAAACTTTCTTGTGTTCCACCTCTGCCAAACGAACAGTAATGAGCACATAGTATTTTAAGTGATAGCTTTCAGGGATCAATTTGGACTAACCTTAGGGAACGTCTCTGTTTCTTCAAATTTTTTGACTGGCTTCTACAACTAGCCTCTATTCCCATCTCGCTTCTTTATGACAAAAAAGTTACCGGCTTAATGATTCCAACATAAGCCCACGTAGACTTCCACCTTGAGTAAAACTTTCTTGAATTACCTTTTAATACCTTGTCAATATAGTGATTTTTTTATACTAGCAACTTTAGATGCGTGCCACGTGCTCATAATTTGAAATGCAAATTTAAATTTATATTATACGATATAATCTAAACCTACTAATGTAATAAAAATTATGTACCGACAGTGTTTAAAAAAAATTATTCAACTTTCTTGCCAAATATTTATTGTGTGCATTACACATAAACACGTCTTTTCCAATGTGAAATATGGAGTTTTTTTTCATAACTTTCCAATAAATTAATTACTTTGAAGAATTTTCTGTCTCACTATATTTGTTATTGTCTTTAACCACGATGATCTCCGGTCCATCCCAAAGCACTTTTGTAGCTTAGGCTTTTATTTTTACTCGCCAGCCATTAGTAACTCTACATTAGTACTTTGTACTTCAAATTCACTTGACTTAAAAAAAAAAACTAATCTTCAAATGTCATGTGAGTTCTGGGGAGGTATCTTGAGACAAAGACGCAGGGAAGATATCTGGGCCGGGATAGTGGGTTCTTCTTTAAGATCTAGTAGAAACTGCCCTACTAACTTTTGTGAGGACTCGTAAATTTTCTTTCTTTTATAATATTTTATTTTATTTTCTTGCATGCATTTTCTTCATTATACCATAATATATTGATTTTCCAGAGATTTTTATAAGTAAGTATAGTTTTAAATCAATTTTTTTATTATAAGTTAGTTCTTGAGAAATTTGGAGTGTATATTGGATGTGGGGCCCGCTAGAGAGTTAAGTGAGAGAAATTCGGCCGATTAGGTTAAGTTGTGCATAAAGGGATTTAATTACTAGGTGTTAAGAGATAATTAGAGGTTACTTAGATGGTTTAATTTTGGAGTGACAAAATGATAAGTTTAAACTTAAAAGGTGCCACGTGTCACTTTCTTATTCGAGTTTGGACTTTGACTACTATTCTTTAACTTTACTAAAACCTCAATTTGACCCAAAAATCATCTTCATTTCACCTCTCTTGGCCGAACTCCTTAGGGAGAGAAAAGAAAGAAACCTTCAACTTTTATTCTTCATTTCTCGCTTAGATCTTGCAAACCAACCGATCAAATCTTGAATTTATCCACAAAAGTGACTTGCTAAGGGAGTTTGAAGGTCTTCGTGGAGTTGTTTTGAAAGAAAAACCCCTAAACTACTACCTTTCTTGAGGAGTTAAGGTATTTTGTTCCTAATAATGGTCAATTGGTGACTTATGGTAACTAACTAGGTGATTTTATGGAAAATTTCATGGATTAAAGTGAAGTTAGCTAAATTTTTGATTTTTTTGGGATTTTTCTATTTTCATATGATGATTATGGTTGGCCTTGGATTGATGGCTCTAAATTGTATTAAATGGATCCCTTGTGCGTTAATTGCGGTTATTTGCGAAAAATTTCAGCTTATGCGAAAGATTTCAGTGTTAGGGTTCCAATCTGCCCTGTTCTGACAGGCTTTATTAGTGCATGTTAGAGGCCGAATCAGGTTTAGGTTAAAACATGAAAGTTGTAGCAAATGGTGTTAATTAGCTGCCTGCAAAATTTCAGCTCAATCGGAGCATTGCAGCATATGAAATGACCGAAATACGTTTGACTGCCCATGAACCCTGTTTCACGGACAAATTTCTGTTTTCGTGGAGTTTTCCATTTTTTACCATGAAAATGCATGATTTGGTTTTGGAGGTTTTCATAAGAAATGTAGGTATATGTTTTGGTTTTGAAACACCATAAGATTCGTTTCAATCCGATAAGTGTAGTTTCAGTTGTGTTTATTGTGCCGAAAGGTGTGTTTTATCATCTATGATTTGTATGTGGTTGATTTGAGATGAATTGGTGTTGATTGTAAGATAAAAAAGTAAGGAAATGTAGGGGACATGCTGTCCAGATTGTGGGAATGTGGGATTTTTTCGAGTTTGGTTTGGTTTGGGATATGTATAAGAAAGGCTTTTTGGGTTGTTTGAACTCTAGGTCTTCATGTTACCTTTCATTCCCAAAAATCATGTTTTACACCCTTGCATTAGTAATTATTTGGCGAGGCATACGACTAGCAGTCGAGTCTCACTTGTGCATTTCGTTTACTCGATTTTGGATATGAAATTTTCAATTGTTTTATTTTGGTTATTTTAGGGTTTCTTGACGATTAAAGCTACTTTGGTGTGAAAACTTTTGAAGTATCTGTACTTGAATCGGTGAGTGTACCACTCCCCTGAATTATTGCTAAACTGGTTATCTGTACTTGCAAATTGCTATTTGAATGTCCTTCCCGACTGTTTATTTTGTACGAGACGAGTGTGTACTTTATCACACTTGTTCTCTGGCCTGTGTGGCTTGTTTCCTGTATATACTTGAATCTGTTACCTGCGCCTGTTATAATGTCGTTTGGAAGTGTATCCAACGACTTTCTTGTTAAATCTGAGCTCAATCTCATAGGGAGTTGATTGAATCGAGTCAGCAAGGGATTAGTCAAGAAAATTAACAATCCATGGGTGCCTGTTCCTGAGAAATCTATGGATATTGGAGACTCTGGATTTCCGGTATACTCGAGTATTACCATTCCTGTTCCTGTTTGGCGTTTGGGCCCGGTAAGGGGTATGTTTGGTGAACGGGATTTTGGCGTAAGAGGGGTCTACGGACATGTGTGTTTTATGAATACAAACGTTGACGGATGGTCAACGGGGCTGGATCAATTATTGCAATAGGGATTTGGCTCCTGAGAGCCACCTGTATCTTTTACATTGTGGTGTTCGTTCATTTCTCGTATTTGATGTGAATAAGTGCCTTAAAAGTGATTTCTCATGATTTCTACTATTTATAATTTTGGTACCTCGTTGACCTTCTAGCTCATCCCGTCCCGTTATCCTTATTTTCCTTGCAGGGAACCATCTTTTTGGACCAATGATCATTTTGAAGAATGAATTGAGCTTGTATAAACACCCTCTTTGTATAGCTTCTTGGAAGTTGGAAACCCTAAATGTATCATAATACAATGTTTTCTTTTGGGGTTGTAAACGTACTACTATGTATATTTTGAAGTGTTTCCTCATGTTTCTGTGACATATTTTTGGGAATGTACATTCTCTCATGTTAAACAAAGTTTACTTGTGCTTGGTTGGATTGTAACGGGGCAGTTTTGATTTTCGTGAGAACGTTGTATCAAGGATTGAAGGTATCTTTTAATTTGGCTCAATTGGGTTCTGAATGTTACCTTTTCGAAGTTCTTTTGAACGTTTTGTAGGGTTTACGTTTGTTCCGGATCCGTAGTCTCTGCGAGAGTTGAGCAGGCGGTCCGCTAAACCCTTTGGTTCGCCTTAGGGTGAGGTAGGGCTATCACAACTTTCCCGTAGTCTCACATCGTTTCTTCAGGGTTGGGGGATTGAGTAGTTAAGTCCCCAGATTTACCTCAAGAGTTGCCGGCTTTTGGGGTTAAATCTGGAATTAGATTTAATTAACTAATTTCAAAAGTCTGAAAAAAAAATGTCATGTGAGTGTAGCTGCGTCACTTGAGTAATTTTTAGTAATATAAAAGATTTTCTTTTTCTTTTTCTTTCTATCAGTGTTGGAACTTGGATGAAAGAAAATTCGGTCATGTATATCAACCAGCAATCAATGCCGTGGAATTTTCTGAATAAATGCTTCTGATCTTTTTCAAGCAAAGAAGGGAACTGTTTAGGAAGCTATTAATGATGCACATATCCAAGTCTGCATTGTCAACCTAAGTGTGTGTGTGTATGTGTACAACAAGCTCTTGATGTTCTTGTAATTGAATTCATACAAATATAGTTGGGAAATCTATTGAGCCATTTTTTACTTTAGCCATTTACTAAGTGTTGAATTCGAGAAGCAAAGAGCTTAATTAGTTCTTACTTTTACATTATCAGATCCAGATACATAATCTGCACTCTTAAGGTCAAACAAGCTGAGATAACCCTTCCATATTTTGTTGACATTTTTTCTTTTCCTTCTGCATAGTTTTTGGTTATATCTTGTGGACTTTGAAGTCTTCATTAAACAACGAGCTACAATACATTTTTCTCCTCTAAATCGGCTCCTAAGTATGTAGAGAGTAAATACTCCTATAAATACCTCTTTATTGTAAATTGAAGCAAGAATGGAAAGACAAACGGGACAATTAATTACTTGTGCTCAAGCCCCAAGTAAGTCTGAGGATCCATTTTCCCTTCGTTATTATCAGCAAAAGCAAGTAAGGAAGACTACGTATGAATCCAATTTCGAAAGAGCTTTGCTTTTTACCACTACAAACCAAAGCCAATTATGATTGCAATACTGCATCCTACTAACAATATTCACAAACAACTGCACAAATTAAATACCATATTGTTTGACCATTTTTTTACGTGCCTTGGTGGAAGACTTCTCTCTGGTATCAGTATCACCACCAGGAATTTGTTCTCTTGAATCAAAGCCATTGACCGCATTACCCAACCCCTTCACCCAACCTTGTGGACGTGTATATATAAATACATCTCTATCCCCAGCCTCTTCAGACACCCCCTGTCTTCTTCCTTCGAGCAATAGCAAAATTTTGCTCTTCTTTTCTACAGGGTTAATTGCTAGCTATCAGGGAAAAAAAAATTAGCAGCAGCATTGCTCTTGAAAGAATTTTCAACAGTTATGGCTCCATTGGGTACAATGCTGGTCCTCCTCTCATTAGTACTAGGCAGTGCAAAAATAATTCCTCAAGCAGAAGCTCGGGCGTTTTTTGTGTTCGGTGATTCTTTGGTCGATAATGGAAACAACAACTACTTGGTCACCACTGCTCGCGCCGACACACCACCGTATGGAATTGATTTTCCGACGCACAGTCCCACCGGTCGTTTCTCAAATGGCTATAACCTCCCCGACTTGATAGGTTGATCAGCTTTCACTTATATATATTTCCTTTACGTGATTCTTGACTAAAATTTGCTGTTTATGTATCATCACCGTTTCTAAACTCGATTCTTTTGAGAACCTGTCTCCACCTCCACCACAATTTTATCATCTCATTCCATTCATTCAGTTAGCAATTAAAATTTTGTGTATAGCGTGCCTATATCTGTACTTCTTGAATGAGTAAACTACACACACACAAAATAGATCCATGCATGCAGACAAATAGATAAATTTATGACAGAAGATTTATGATCATACGCATGAAGTGGGGGTTAAATTTTTCTGTTCTTTTGTCCATCTAGTGCAATTTAATTAGCAGTTGGTAGTTTTTTTTTTTCCTTTTCTTTTCGTTTCAGGTCAATACTATGGCTTGGAAGCAACATTGCCATACTTGAGTCCGGAGCTTTCTGGGGATAAGCTGCTTCATGGTGCTAACTTTGCCTCTGCTGGAGTCGGCATCCTTAATGACACTGGAGTCCAATTTGTAAGCTACCGCTTGGACAGTTGTCGATCCATTAATATCCTAATTTTTATGTTTTTTTTTATTTCATTTTTAAATATTCTTTGTTTCAGACTTTGGATCCTCATAGTATTTTGTATTCGACAAATATTGGATGGGTCCTTGACCTTTGTGTGTGTTTCTTGAAAACTATTATTATTATCGCTTTCATGTCCATTATTCTTCGCCATCATAGAGCATGCCTAGCCTCTTGAAACTAGCCGACATGTCCCATTATGTTTTTCTCTCGACTGTTTCGTAAAGCCCTAATCTGGCTAGGAAACTAAAAACTTGATGGGATTTCTGCATTTGCAGATTAATATCATTGGGATGTACGATCAAATAGCATACTTTCTGCAGTACCAGAAGCGACTGAGCGATCAAATTGGAGCTGAAAATGCTACGAAACTCGTCAAGGAGTCCCTTGTTCTGATCACTTTGGGTGGCAACGATTTCGTCAACAACTATTACTTGATACCTTACTCTCCAAGGTCTCAGCAATTCAATCTCCAAGACTACTGTAAATACCTCATCTCTGAATATCGAAAAATTTTACAGGTAAATGCAGCCTTTACTTTTCCACATTTCTTTGTTTCTCGCACTCACGATTTCAAACAAAATAACAGCACCTTTTTTTTTTTCCTCAAACTCTTTGTGCTTTTTGGTAGATTGTACAAGCAAAAATCTTTTTTTTTTTTTTAAATTAAAAAAATTTTGGGAAATATTACATGCAGAGACTACATGAAGTAGGAGCGGAAAGGGTAATAGTGACGGGAACAGGACCATTGGGATGTGTCCCAGCAGAATTAGCCATGCGGAGCAGCAATGGTGAATGTGCAGATGAACTGCAAACTGCCGCATCACTTTTCAATCCCCAACTAGCCGAAATGCTCACTGGACTAAACAAAGAGATAGGCAGTGATGTCTTTGTTGCTGCAAACACCAATCGAGCACACATGGATTTCATTGCCAACCCTCAAGCATTTGGTAACTTAAATCAATTGGAATATAAAACTGTTGCCATTGCTCTCTCTAAGATATATATGGTTCTGCAGCTTAACAAATGGATGTCAAATGGTGAATGGACAGGTTTTGAGACAGCTAAGATAGCATGTTGCGGACAAGGCCCTTATAATGGGATTGGACTTTGCACGCCTTTTTCCAACTTGTGCCCCAACAGAGGCACATATGTATTCTGGGATGCTTTTCATCCAACTGAAAGGGCCAACAGGTTGATCGTGCAGCAGATGTTCAATGGCTCGACATTTTACATGAATCCCATGAACCTTAGCACCATCAGGATTTTGGATCCATAGCCATGATGTGATGATTTGATCCGACCTTCAAATTACATTTCAGCATTTGGCGTTGTGTTTATCATTAATCTGGACTTGCCTTTCATTTGTTACACTAGTTTGCTGTTTCTGCCAATGATAGATTAGACTCTCTTCTGATGCATGTCAGTTGCTTGTAGACATCATGATATCAAGAAGTCCGTATCTCTTCATGGGAGTACATTATGCTGCAGTTTTCGCTTTCATTAATTTTACAGATTTTTTCAGGAGTGGAATGAATTTGATGGAGCAATTGACATCTCAAACACAAATAACACATTTCTCTGTAAAGAGATGAAGTTTGGTTGTGAAATGAGAACCAAATAGTTACAAGGTATCAACCCTGGTATGATATCTAGTTCCTTGACAGAAACGAATGTTAAAGCATAACAACTCTATAGCCCGCACAGATCCCTTCATAATAGCATTAGGCTTTGCACCCCCTGTTACAATCTGCTCTGCGCTCCAACGTAGACAAGCACACATTCTTGGGGTTCAGTTCAGGGGCTTCGAGTCTCAGATCTGGGCGAGCTCAGCTCGACTAAATCTAAGCCATCCAATTTAAATTTTCAAAAATATTTTTTATTTTTTAATCAGACGATCCAGATCTAACCAAGCTCAGCTCAGATCTGGCGGTGGTGGAGTTCCCAAGCCCTCATCCCCTACCTGGAATGCTTTCTATCAATTCAATAGCGCCAACAGATGGATAGAGCAGCAAATAGTGAATGGCTTAACCAACTATGCTAATCACCATCAAGGCCTTTTCCTTTTCCATTAAACTGCATGGTTGACATTAACTAGTCGCTAGATAATTATAGCATTAAACTAATTTAGGCATCCTTTCCATCTGAGGTGTTAGAGAGTTCGGTAGATTAGAGACTTTCTTAATGGTACATCACAACACCCTGTTCAGAACAATTGTTCAGAACCTTAGCGAGTAATCATTTGTTGCTCGTTCAATATTATGAACCTTGTTCAGAACAATTAAAGGTTCATTTCGCAGATCGATTTAAATAGATTTGCAGTCAGCACAATACTTTCACCTGGACAGCCATGATGAGAATATTGTTCTCCTAACTTTTCTAAAATTTTTAAGAGAATACAAGCTAAACCAGGACCATTCGTCGCTTGAGCGTGTGCGCGCTTGAGAGAGAGAGAGTACTAATGCAATCAAACTAGGAGCACAACTAACACATTAACTGAAAATCTTGAAGCACAATTTTCTAGTGCCACAAATTCAATTCAGATTCATAGTACTTGATGAGCATTATGGTATTTAACAAGGGCTGAACTGGCAAATTTGCAATTTAAAAAGCACCACCTCTCAGAGCAAGTACAAGATGAAGAACAGAACCACCCTCAATATTGTAATCTTTTGCTGTTTTGTCATCCCCAAGCTGCTTGCCAGCATAAATGAGCCTGCGGCACCACAGTAGTACAAGCAAAACTTCCAGATTTCAATCAATACAAGAAAGAAAAACTCAAAAAAGATATGCTACTTAAGTCTGCTTCATGAATAAATACAAACAGAATAAATATTCAAACATTAATACTCTAGGGCCAAATTTTACTTCAAAGACTTGCAATGCAGAGGTCCTGCAAGTTTTGCACTAATGGCACCCAGGATTCAAGAAAAGAACTGTTTCGGCTCTTGCACTTTTTACATCTAAGATTTTACACTAATCGCACCCAGGATTCAAGCTCTTGCATCTATCAAAGGTTCTATATCCACATCTTGTCCTCTCTGAGCCTTTTTCACATGTTCAACTCCATCATAAACCCCTAAAATTCTAGCTACCGCCGATGCGCCTTTATCCCCAGAGATCTTACCCTTGTTATTGTCAAAAATGTCAAATTAACTTTCTAATAGCACCCAAAAGCTTTATAAACGCTCAATATGCCCAGTCTTAGATTTCAAAGCTTTAAGCCATCTTACATGCGATTACGCACACACGCACCCATACATGTATAAAAAACATGTAAAATGCAAATACTAATATATAGGCAAAAACTTGGATGAACCCGGTCTATGATCACGCACTTATAGACCCTGTGGTGTCTAAGGAGCCATGTCACTCTCTTGCATTATTAATGGTCAAAATTAATTTCTTTATGCCGGCTAGATAGCCAAGGTTTAACATTGCCTCAATTTTCTCTCAAAATGTAAGGCAGAGAATTTTGGTGCCAGACAGTTTGTCGCCGGCCACTGGTATCAGGCATGGCCCATCCGCTCTTAAGCGAGTTGTCCTCAGTGCCAATAGAATTTTCTCACAGTCAAGAGTTCGTTTACAACAATTTGTGGCTGGCGCAGCAAAGTCTAGAGCTGGAGCCAGAGCCCAAGCCGAAGAACATTGCGCCGCCTATACCTTAGATCATCTTCATGTCTCTTCTCAAGTCTCATTCTCCTTCTCGTTGTCTGATGAGTCTCAACTTTTCTTCCACCCTTTCTCAATACCCATCTCTACTCTTGTAATCTTGTAATTGCAGGAAGTAATTTTATTTACAGCAAGGGATCTTATTATCATTGCCATCATGGGAATCTTCACCCTTGACCCACTGCCTCTCTGCCATGTTTAAAGCAGAGGATTCTTGAGGGAGTGGAACAAATTTGACGTTTTGGCCAAGATTTAGGAGTTCTTCTAAAAAGGAATTAAGTACTAATTGCATGTGAAGTATTTTTCTTATGCAAAACTTACCCGATCTTCTGAAATGATCCTCATCTTGAGAATTTTGTCCTTTTATCTATCTTTCAAAACTTTTACTCTGTCCTCACAATAATTAATCTTCTCCATTAGACAAGCTTTTTCTTTACTGGGATTCTGTGGATTGTCCAGTTTGAGCCCAATTTCAGAAAAAGTCATTTAAACTTTGAAGAGCAAGAGACTTACTTTTGATTCGGGAAACATAGGGTTCGCTATTTCTTTTTCTTTCTCTTTTTGCTGTCCTTTCTCATTTATCACAATCATTCATTGTGGAAGGCAAAAAGAAAACATGTATGAAAGGGAAATGTGCTAACCCTAGTTGAGAGGGATGACATGGCTATAAACACCACAGGGTCTATATGTGGGAACATAGACTGGGTTCGCCCAAGTATTTGCTTAATATTTAACCCAAACAATGCACAATGCACAATCCACAAACTGAGAGTGGCAACAGCATCGCAAATGATTCCATATAAACAGTTAAAATAGTAACCGGGAACATTGAGAAACACAAAGTTTATCAAAATATAGAAAAGCACACTCTGGCAGGAAATTAAAAATTTTTTGCTATTAATTCATTGCCAAGACAGATGCGGAATTTATCAAGTCAAGAACAGATTTAGAACAAAAGTGACTAGAAACCATGTTATACTAGAGAGTTAGAGTGCAAACCTCTGCTGCACCGGGGGAATTCCTTCCTTCTCTTCCACTCGTTCCTTAATTCGGTCAATGGTATCAGTTGGTTCAATATCAATTTCAATTTCCTTCCCAGTAAGAGTCTTCACCTTAATCATAGTTCCTCCTCTGAGCCTCAAAACCAAATGAAGGGTGGATTCTTTCTGAATATTGTAATCGGCCAAAGTACGTCCATCCTCTAACTGCTTTCCAGCAAAAATCAGCCTCTGCTGGTCAGGGGGGATACCCTCTTTGTCCTGGTAGCAGCACAAAAATTACCATTTTAGACCTCTTCAAATGAGTTCACCTCTTTTTTACTCTAGTGTGTCAAAAGATCAGATTAAAAAATAGATGGTATCATAGTGAAAATGCTTTTCCTATCAACAACAGTTAAAAGGCACTATGTTCGTGCACTCAATTTCATAGAATACAAAGATCCAAAGCTGCGATGTCAATGACCACGTAAATAACGTATTTCAAGTGCCACATTTTCCATGCAATTTAATGTTGATCAAGGCAAGACCATCACACAATTTTTCCCTAGGTATCATCATGAAGCAAGGGAAATTTCATAAATAAGATCAGTACATCCATCATTATCCACGCAAAAGCAAGCCCAAAAAGTCTTTAAACAAACATCAAGAGCCCCATAATTTCCAAATCTAAAGACATCAGACTAGACACAAAACTAGAAGACAGCTCCGGGGCAAGCTAAAAACTGTCCAACCCCAACACATAAAATAAATTTCGGAAGGAATTTATACAAATCATAGTTAAAAAAAAAAAAAAGTCTCATAACAGCTTTTCCCTAAACTTTTCAGTGCAAGATAAAATAAACAGGAATTTAAGATGCATCATAATCCTCAGAATCTTCCATAACTCCACTAAAGCTTCTCCAGCCGCATAACAAAGTGAATCCACATAATTTCATCAACGGTCAGATAAGCATGCAACACCGCCTATATCTATTTAGACAAAAAAAAATGGAAGAAGGACAAAAAAAAAAAAAAAAAAAAAAAAAAGATAACACGTACGAAGCACAAATTGATAATCTTGCATAGAATGATAGAATCGCCGATAAAACTGAGAATAAACAATATCCAAAATAAAAATTTTAAAAAAAAAAGAAGTGCAAACGCATATGAAGAAAGAGATAAGGAGAATCATAGATGGACCTGAATCTTAGCCTTGACATTGTCGATGGTGTCGCTGCTCTCGACTTCGAGAGTTATAGTTTTTCCGGTTAGGGTTTTGACGAAGATCTGCATGATTCTTGTGAGTTTTGATGCTATGCTCTTCCTCTTCGGCAGCTGGGGAGAGGAAATGAAGAGAGAGGCAGAGGCTAGCAGCTGGGAGATGGTACCTGGGAGTGGGAGGTCTAATTCTCTGGTTGCTGGGGAGGAGGGGGGGGGGGTGGTGTTTGACTTTATATTCTTTATTCTAATCAAAATTGGCGAACAGAATTTATAAGAAAAAAGAAAAGGTGATATGCGCCACGATTATTCTCCACTTATTCAAATTTTGTGATGGACAAAGGCTGTCATGTCTCTTGTACATCTTTCAGATTTCTCGATGTTTTATAATTTGAAAATTGTTAATTGCACTTTCTTTTTATTACTCGCACTCTCGCTATTTTTATCATATAATTTTTATTTATTAAATTATATGATCAAATAAAATATAATTTTTATTTATTAAATTATATGATAAAATATAAAATATTTATTTATTATATTATATGATTTAATAAATAGTAAGGGTGCAAGTAATAAAAACTGAGATGTGATTAATGTTTTTCTTTTATTTTATTCCCTTTTCTCCATATGTTTAGTCTGGAAATTTTGGTCTCTGGATGTAGAAGAG